CGTAATTCATTGCTTCTGCTTCCACAGTGTGCAATTCATCCTTTGTAGCAGCCCTTAAATGGACTGTTCTTCATCACAACTGGTGCTCACATTCATCATTATACACCTTAGTGATAATCTATGCCAGCCTTTAGTTCACAACCCAAAAGATAGTTCTGGGGCTTCAGGGGGTTCATGTCCATATTCATTCGAATCTTCTATGGAGTGGGCCTGCACTTAGGTGGGAGAGAACATGGACAGAAATAAACAGCTACTGCCCCTAGAGAACAGACACACAGGACAGACTTGCACCAGGGTCTAGCAACTTTATTCATAAATATCAAAACTTGGAAGCGAGGCATCCTTCAGTAGATGAATTAATAAATAAACTTGTATATTCAGGAGATGGAACATTATTCAGCACTAAAAAGTAAAGAGATATCAAGTCATGGAAAGACACAAAGCAAGCTTAATCACATTTAACTAAGTGAAATACGACAATCTGAAAAGGATATACTGTGTAATTCCAACTGTATGACATTGGACAAGGCAGTCTATGTCTATGGAGACATTAAAAATATCAGTGGCTGTCAGGGGTAGGTAGGAGGAAGGAAGGATTAGGGAGTTTACAAAGGATTTTTAGCACAGTTAATATTCTCCAAATGGTACTGTAATGGTGGATACATATCATACATAAAATATACAACGCCAAGACCAAACCCTAATGTAAATATGGACTTTGGATAATTATTATGTGTAGTAAGTTCATTGATTGTAACAAATGTACCAATCTGGGGTGGGAGAAGCTATACGTGTGTGAGAGAGGTCTATGGGATATCTTTACAACTTCCTCTCAATTTTGCCATGAGTCTAAAACTTTTTTTTTTTTTGGTAACGGGGATCGAACTCCGGACCTTGCGCTTGCGAGGCAGGTGGCAGAAACACTGAGCTAAATCCCTGACCTGAACCTAAAACTGTTAGTTTAAAAAGTCTTTAATAAAACAAAGAGCAAAACAGCTTGCATCAGAATAAAGTTCATGGAAGATGCAGCATTTGAGATAGCCCTAGACTGACAAACCCAACAACCTCAGTAAGAGGGGTGTTCTGGAGGGAGTGACCAGCCCTACCACAAGATGGCATAGGCAGCAGGGAGAGAAGGCTCATTAACTAGTTGTCCTGGAGACCAAAGCTTTGCACAGGGGAGAGACCAGGCTTAAAAGGCTGGTGAGGCACTGCAATCTAAAGCCTTGAATGTTGGCAGAAAGAGATTGAGTTTCATGCTTCCATTATCATGATTCTCATGCATTTTTTACACAAAGGCTATAGAAGAATGATAGCATTGATTGCTGACAAGTGAGAGTCACAGCCCAGAAAACACATTCAGTATGAAGGGGTTTCGTTTTTCAGACTGCAGCACTAATGACAGCATCACATTGCATTCACAGGCTGTAATAGATTCCAGAATTTTGCACTTGTTCCCACGTGTCTTGATGTTTATGAAATACAACCCAGACATTTCCACTTCACTCTTGCCCTACTTCTCCCAGGATTATCTCACAGTCATCTAGAGATGCCAGAGGTGGCCTTCCACTCTGACATGACAAGAAAGCCTGCTAGCGCTCAAGCAGGGAGAGGAAATTCCTCAAGACTGTGAACTCTGAATACCGACATTCTGCAAAATGTGATTTCCTTTCTCCTTCAGCAAACCATGCAGTCAAAATATCAGGGTCAACAGTGGTGTATACTTTATAGAAGAAATTTAACTGGCATATGTATGTGTTCAAAAGTATGCAGGCTCAATGTGATAGCCAGAACTCAAATAGCAGCATTGAAAAGTCTTAGGAAAGCATTAAGTGGAGTAGCAATTAACTTGTTCTGGAGTTTTTTACCTTTGTTTCTCTGGTGTAGGAGTCATGTTTCTGGTGTATATTCATCCAAACTAGTTGGGCTTCAAAGTAAAATACTGAAGAAATTCTGATTGTGGAGTTGGGTATGGCAGCACAGACCTAGAGTCCCAGCTCCTCTGGTGGTCTGGTGGTGAGGTATAAGATCACTTGAGCCCACAAGTTTGAGGTCAGCATGGGGAACACAGCAAAACCCCAGCAGAGTGAGGAGGGGGGAAGAGGAGAGAGAGAGAGAGAATGGGAATGAATTTTACTGCTTTGCTTTGCCCTGTGCTATGTTGTCAATGTATTTGTTGTTTTCCCTTTGGGGAACATGGCAAGAAATAAACAAACAAATGAACAAATACATTACAGGGAGATGCTGCCTTCATCTCTGCTGCAGAAGTTTTAATATATAACAGTGGTGAAGAGGGCTGGGGATGTAGCTCAGGAGCAGAGTACTTGCCTAGCTTACGCAAAGCCCTGTGTTGCATGTCCAGAACAAATGCCAAAGAAAGAGGTCAGTGAAGATGTTATAAGGTAAACATCCTCATTCACTAATGATGTAAATTTAAATAGAAAATATTTCTATAAATCAATTCAGTAAAATATATCAAAAGTTTAAAATGTTTATTCCATTATACATATATGCACAAACAGAACAAAAAGATGCCTCATACAAACACTGAAACCCAAGTTCTAACAGTGATATTTATCTCTTGATGATGCATAATAGGCGCTTCTTATTTGGAAACATGCTTTTCAATGTCTTTTCCTCAGTGAGAAAGTATTACTCACTGATTATGGTATAAATCATTTCCATCCCATAAGGATAGTTATGGAGAATTTTAATAAAATAAAACATCATAAAACTCAGTGAAAAGTACACATTTCATAAAGGATATAATATAACTATATATGAATGCATGTATAAATATATAATTGTTTACCTAATAAACACACCTGTTTACTAAGGCATAAAATGAGCACAAGTGAATTAAGACTAATCTATCAATGTAATGGCATTATTGCAATATAAAACATGAGTCACTTTTAATTAATGATTCTGTAATTTTGCCAGCACTGAGCTTATACTGCTCTTACATTCAGAAAAAAGAGCCTTAAAAGTCAAATAGCTGCTAGTGTAAACAAATCTACTGTGTGCCCAGTGGTTAAAAACTAGACCACATTAGGTGTGATACAAAATACTTGATAACTATGTCACCAATTTGTTTACTGTGTTGTTTATTGTTATTTTAGGGGGCACTCTCTTAGTGTACAGAATTTACTGGAATGCAAATGCAGTGTGATGCGGACAGCCTGTTTGCTGCACTCCTGAGCAGCTCACTGGTACTGTCAGCCACAGTGTAAGTACACTCTGTGATGTTCCCCCAACAGCAGAATTGCCTAAAAACATGTATCCTTGTCATTAAGTGATGCATGACTGATAGTCACAGGGGACCACATCCACCATAACCTGAAAAGGCTCCAGCTGTGGGATGTCATGGTATAATCATCAGGCATGGCCTTGTTGATAAAGAAACTGGGTGAAAACCCTGATTGGGTCTCATTTTCTTCACTAGAAGAGTAGAGTTGTTAACTCCTCTTCCAAAGGTCTGAGAAGAGGCTCAAATGCATTAAGACGTCTACAGGTTTTGCCTACTGGCTAGCATGGAGCAGATGCTTTATACATGGTAGCTTGCTCTTTAATACCCCCAGGCTTGATTCATTTACATGCCAAATTGCACTAGGCCAGCAGTGTTCAATGCTTGGATCTAAGCTTCCCTTTTGTGCCACACCTGGAAGTAGAAGGGTCACTTTTGTGAGGTGTAAGGGACATTTAACTTTGAGGTAGAGATAAGGGTTTAGGTGAGGTTGGAGTGCAGCCACCTGGGTGGCTGGGTCAAATCCTCTAGTCCCAACCAGAGGGCCAGCAGCACAAGGAGTCAGTGGGAACAAATAAGCCTGATTCTATGTCTCCCTTTGCATGTAACCCATCCACTCCTGCATGACACTTTCCTCCTTCCTTCAGAAAATATCAAACAATGCAGATTATATGGCAACCCCCCTGCTGGGCTTTGGATCCTGAAAGTTAAATAATATATTCGTTCTGACATTAAGAGCTAGTAGAGGTGCACATAATAAATAAAAATCACAAACCCAGGTTATCAGTCCTTTGCACAGGTAAATTGATGGTCCAGAGGAAGGAGAAGCCCACTCTGGAGGGAGAGGGGGCAGGCTCCAAACACAGTGAGAGAAGCCTTGCCAAAGGTAACTCCCTCAAGATGTCTTTCTGACAGAAGTAGGCTTTTCCCTAGCAGACCAGGTAGGTTTGCAGTAAGAGTGGAATGCCCTAGCAGGAACGCCATATGGAGGTATAAATAGCACGACTCTCCTTCTAGAAACCTTGGGACCTCATTTCTCCCAAGAGAAGGATGAGAACTATAAAGTGGAACCAAAGGGCCAGGGATTTAGCTCAGTGCTTCCGCCACCTGCCTTGCAAGCGCAAGGACCAGAGTTTGATCCCTGGTACCAAAACAAAAGAACAAAAGTGAAACTAAGGCTTATGACCAAGCATGTGGAACAGAGTCCATGCTTAAGAATTGGTATCACCCTTGTGGAAACAGTGGCCATTTCTTGAGGGACTCTAGAGCCCAGAGGGACAGAGCCACCTCTCTATTTTAAGCAACACCCCCAACGAAAGATTTTCACAAGGTGGTGGCAGAACATATAGAGCCTGGAAACCAGCTGGAGGACCCAGGACCATCCAGATATGGGCTGATGAGGATGGGACAGGCTCAGAGAGAAACAGGAAGGGGATAGGACAGCACTAAATTTTCCTTTTTTTTCCTCCTTACAGAACCATTTATTCTCTTGAATATTGTCATTTACATTCAAAGTTACAATTCTAAATGAGAGACACTGAGTTGGGTACTGCTGTGGCTTGTGTCTAGATGTACCCCCACAAAGCCTCATGCAGTCATATGTGGGGCTGTTAGGGTTGGCTGGATCTAGAGTGTATTATTCTGGGATGAAGTGTATATGATTACTGAATTAGTCCACTGATTGGTTTGGCATAGTTCTGGCTAGGATTAAGGCTGCCCCTCTCTGGGTGTGAGTGCTACTTGCTCCAAGGGTGGGTAGCCTGGATAAGATACAAAGGACAGAAAGAGAGTCACTGCTTATTGCTTACTGCTTTGCTTCTTTGTTACTTTGATGCCTTCTGCCTGCCATGAACTATTTCTCCTCTGTGATGCCTTGGAGCCACCCAGCTATGAACTGAATTCCCTATAAACTGTGAGTTGAAATAAACCTTTCCTCCTTTGTTTTTGAGTCATGGGTATTTTGTCTCAGCAAGAAGAAAAGTTAACTAAGACAGGTACTGTCTTCAGAAATGTATTAGATTTTTATTTATCTTTTTATCTCCCATTTTATGATATTTTCCAGGAATTATACCATTCTCCAGAAATGCATCCCAAGTGAGAACATTTTAAAATCTCCACCTTTGAGAAACATTATGACAGTAAATGCATTCCTTCATACATATGCATAATTATGTGATTTTTAGAGTAAGTGTCCCCAAAATCTAAGCCATGGACTAGCACTGGTCCATAGTCTCTTAGAAACCAGGCTACACAGCAGATGGGGAGTTGGCAAGGGAATAAACTATCATCTGTATTTATGGCCATCACTTGCATTACCATGTAAGTGCTGCCTCCTGTTAGATCAGGGTTCCCATAGGAGCTCAAACCCTATTGTGATGTGCACATGTAAGGGATCTAGGTTGTGGGCTCCTTGTTAGAATCTAGTGCCTAATGATCTGAGGTGGAGCTAAGACAGTGATGCTAGCAATGCAAATACATTTTAACATTAGCAGAGAGGTTTGACTGTACAGAGACAACAAATTAATTACTTGCAGACTCATCAAAACCTAATGAGTGGATTAAAAAAAAACCCTAATGAGTGGCAAGTGGCTATTGTACAACTGCATCTGGTGGCAGGCTTTGCATCAGAATGTGACAGTTATGTTACTCTCTGTGTGGTCTGCCCATTATTTTATCTACCACCTTTGTCTCTTGCTTCTTTCCTGTATTGGGTACTTCTTTCCATCAAGTTTTGGTAAGCCCACAAGCTAATCCTAACCAAAATGAGTAAAAAGTAAATGTCACAGGAAAGCTTCTCTGAAAAGGAGGAAACCCAATGATGAGAGAACAAAAGGTTCTAAGGCTGCCAATAAAAAGAAAGTGACATTTAAAGGAAAATACCAAGAATCCTACTTCAACTATAGGTTCATTGCAACAAGCAATTGACATCTCTAACCCCACTTTGTATAATGTGTGGCAAGCAGCCATCTAACAAAGCTATGAAACCTTAAAAATACTTTGCCACATTTGGGGACAATGCGCCCTGCATTGAAGAACAAGCCTAAGGAGGTTTTCTTTTTAATGTGAATACAAAGAACAGAAACAATTGAGAGGTTTTTTCTGAATGTGAGTCTATGTGCTGTGTTTCCATAGAGAAATATTAGCTAGCTGAAAAATGTCACCTGAACTTAACAATATTTCACAGGTTGTGATTGAAATTATCAACTTCATTAAGGTGTATGTCCTTAACTCACATCACATCCCACGGTTCTGTGGGAAGATGAACACAGAGCACATATACAGAGGTGAGATGGCCTTCTAAAGGCAGATCATTGCTGGAGTTTTTGAGTTGCAAGAGCCACCCCAGAGGTTTCTAGTAAAAAAAAAAAGTCATCACTGATAGCACATTTTAGCCATGCAAAATGGATTCCAAAACTTGCTTATTCTTGCAACATACTCACCTTGCTCAATGAACTCAATATGTCACTTCAGGGGAGAATGACAACTATGATCAAGTCAGCAGATAAAGTGGATGCATTCAAAACCTAATGGAAGTGTGGGGGCAATGACCGAACACTGTGACTTTTGTTATGTTTCAAACATTAGTAGAGATTTTCAGAAACTGAGCCAGTGTCTTCTTTCTCCCAGCTAGTGCATGATCACATATATCAGTTTTCAAAAGAATTTTAGCATTACTTCCCAACCACAAAAGACTCTCAAACTGGAATAGGATGCATCTGCAATTCATTTGTGAATAAACCAGGTGTCTCTGCTGGAAGAGATGAGCTGAATGAGATTGCGAATGATAGTGGCTTTAAAACTGTTTCAGACCATTGCAAATCTCCATTCTGGATTAAAGTCAAGGAACAGTATCCCGGAATTGCCACAAAAGCACTGAAAAGGCTGCTTCCATTTCCAGCATCCTGTCTTTGTGAAGCAGGGTTTTCTGCAGTGATAGCAACTAAAACAAGATTACATAGTAGCCTGGACATAAGCAACACATTTCAAGTGTCTCTTTCTCCCATTTCCCCCCAGATGAGATTAAATAATTGCAGGAAAAGAAGATCAGAGCTCCCACGGATTCTGCATTGTGGTAAGTTGTATAATTGTTTCATCATATATTACAATGTAACAATAATAGAAATAAAGTACATAATAAGTGTGATGCACTCAAATCATCCTAAAACCACCCCATCCCAGAGGCTGTAGACAAATTGTCATCTGTGAAATTGGACCCTGGTGCCAAAATGTTGAGAACTGCTATTCTAGAGGGTGAGAAGAACAAGGGAACACAGAAATTCTGGGGCTGGGAGTCTGCTATGGTTTGAATATTTGTGTCCCCTCAAAAATTCATGTTTTGAAACAATTGCCAAAGTAGTATGTGTGAGTCCTTTGGAAATGATTGAGTCATATGGGTGGAGCCCTTGTGACGGATTGGATGGCCTTATAAAAAGGGTTGACGCAGGCCAGGGATTTAGCTTAGTGGTGCTGCTTCCTGCCTCAAAAGCACAAGGTCCAGAGTTCAATCCCTGGTATCAAAAAAAAAAAAAAAATGTTGAGAAGTGGAAGGTGCTGCAGAAGAAGAAGCAGCTCATCACAGAACCAAGCAGTCTCTAGTAGAAGCTCCACTTGTCAGGGTGGAGTGCAGACCAGCTTGAAGAGGCATAAGCAGCCTTAGTGACAGGGTCAGAGGAAAGCCAGGAGAGCACACCCTGGAAGCCAAGTGATGGCCAGCCTGGGCACCCAGTGTTGGAATATGGAGTCTGTCTTCCGCAGACCTCGGCTTCCCTCTGCTTTTCCTCCATCCTGCACACATTTAGGAATTAAGGCCCCAGAAATATTAGGAAGTGTTGCTGGTGCAGCCCCCAGCAATTAGTCACTGAGGCTGGTCCCGTTACACAGAGCCATGAACATGTCACAGATCATCTTTTTGTCAGGAATATGAATCCTCACCACCATTAGTGAGACTTGATGTTGTTTTGATGTTGCTGTGTTTCTTCTGCAAAAGTAATAATTACTCCAAGACTTGGGCAAACCCTAAGTGATGGTGGATGATGTGGTTAACAAAACTAGAACAGTGACGATGGATTAGGTCACCTCTTTCTCTGTTGTTTGAATTTTTTGCCTGCCTACCAGCAATATATGTGGCTGTGTTTACTAGGATATATTTTTCATGCAGATAATGGTCGAATTAAACATTCCAGGGAAAGGTCCTGTGGAGGGCTTTGAGCTCTCGGACAAGTGTTTGTTAAGAAATACTGATGGCAAAAAGATCAGCACTATGGTGAGCTCTGTGTGCGTGTGTGTGTGTGTGTGTGTGTGTGTGTGTTATGAGGAATTGAAACCAGGGTCTCAAAAATGCTAGGCAAGCATTCTACTGTGGAGTTAGTTACACTCAGGCCTGTGAGCTGGATTCTTAATGTCACATTTTGGAGTTTGTTTTTTGTTTTTGCTTTTTGGAACCGGGGACTGAACTTGGGACCTTGTGCTTGTGAAGCAGGTGGTGGAACCACTGAGCTAAATTCCTGAGAGGAGTTTCTAAATATTGTGAGGTAACTGACAATAGGGAATATGTGAACCAAGCTTGCTTTTTCTTTTTGTTTTTTTTAGATAAAGGTTGATATGTAGCCCCCAGGTTATTTTGGGACTGGGACCTTCATTTCCTATTTTAGTAGTAGAAACAATAAAATTAAAATGAAGGTAGAGGTCAAAAACTTGTTCAGCTAAAATTTCTGTGGAAATAAAATTAGCATATTGGTCTTTACTCAGGGTAAATAAGGAACAATTGGCAGGGTTGGTTCTGCATCTCTTCATTGTGCTGGGCCTTCAGTGAACAATTTCTTAGCACTAAATAGGTAAAGCAGTTGGACAGATAGAGCTCTTCCCTTTTTCCCTCTTACTCTCTATGCTATGTCTTCTCCAGATAAAGTGCTCCAGGTAGCAGGCTCCAGAACTGTGAGATAATACATTTTTACTCTTTCTAAATTACACAATTTGTGCTATTTTGTTACAGCAGCCCAAACAGACTGAGATAAGCCACGGAGGGCACTTTCTAGTGACAGACTGGGTCAGGCATACCATGCTCTCAGCACAATTCACATTTTGACTCAACAAAATGACATAATTTTCTGTTAAATGTTTTTGTGAAAATGTTGTTGGTGTTGGGGTTATTTGTGAAATGTGATCACCACTGAATGCTAAGAATAATTTCTTCTAAATTAATCATGAATGAGCTCCAGTAAAATAATATTGCTTGTCAACATCACCTTTAATATTGCAATTTATAAATAATTGAATCTCTTATTTTTGCCTTTTGATATTTTATTTGTTGCTTCCAAGCTTAGATAAGTGATAATTTCCCTGTAGATTTCATAACTGCTTGTTTCTGTTTTCTACTACTTTGCTAGGATGTGATTTATATGCTTAACTGTTTAAAGTTCTTTTGATATTATATAAAATAAATTGTTTTCAATATTGCTAGAATTAAGAAATGAATTCAGAAGGGGTTTTACTTCCCTACAAAGTAAATAATTTTGTGTCTTATACACTGCTTGGCATAGAATAAGTGTAAGCTAATTTAAGTAAAAAAAAAAAAAAAAAGATTTTTTTTTTCTCTCTCCCACCTTTCCCTGGGAAAATGTTTGAAATATGGTACCTCTAGTCATATTTCTAATTTCTCTTTGAAGTTACTTTTGGATAGAAGCCAGGAAAATAATGTATGAAAAAACAGATGAATGTTTCATCAGAAAATTTGATCTGCTTGAAAAAATGACCTACCAAGCATGTTTAAGTGTCTGTGTTAGTTACTGTGGCACAAATTATATTCAGTAGAAGTTTCACGCTGAGAAAAACCACAGAGAGCATAAGATGAATACATTCACTGTGATTATTCTCTTCAGGAGCTAGAAAATAACTACTTAGGAAGATTATACATGAGAGTAATTGCTGTCTAGTGGAGAAAAACTGGGGGAAATAACTATAAGAGAGAAGAAGATATTTTCTAACCATCTGTCATTTAAAAATAAGAAACAAAACCTAGGAAATATAGTATGTTTTTCACAAGGATTGAGAAGTGATACCAAAAGGGGTACATTGCCAGGCCCACAGGAAAAACTCTGAGATTACCATGTAAAGGGTCTCCACTCCTGAGCTATGATTTACTATCACAGATAATTACCTTTATTTGACATTCCACACCCAACTGGGATGTCAGTAATTGGAAGCCGGAAATGCAGATAGGAAGATACATCCTCCTACCAGAAAACAAATATGTGGCAATAAAGAAGAGCAATCTTTAATTTATCACTTCAAATTTCCTATTTCATTTAATATATTTAACAATCCTAGTAAGCTAAATGACTACATGGTCATAGGCTTTATTCCGATAGCACTGTGTTGGTGTCCTCTTCTGTTGAAGCAGTGTCCTTAAGCCTAAGACATTTGTCCCTGCACCGTACCTGTCAGAGTCTTCATCCCTGTCTCAGAGGAGCTGTTGACCTGGATGCAGTAGGATCAGTCTTGTGAATTGCTCAGTATGACTGCTTTGCTGGCACAAGACAGCAACACGGAGATGCTGGGAGACAGCCTGTGATTAAGAGCACAGCTGGAGGAATTTTTGCCTGTATAGTTCAGAGCACTTTATCTGTGCTCCTTACAACACTTAAGTGTTTCTTTCCAATCTATTTCTTCTGTCTCTTCCTCCTGACTAGAATGAACACTGGAGCACAATTCTATGTCCAATCTTTCTTTGACTCCCCACTCAGCCCACCCTATGCCTGCTGAGCAGGGCTATGAGGAAACATTTCTTGTTGGGATAAAAGGAGAGACCTAGAGAATTAAGTTTTGAGTGTAAAGAGAATAAGGGAGGCATTGTGGGTTAGTATGAAGATTCTCACTTTGGACAAAAATGTAATTTATAACAACAAACAATAAGTATCTGAGGCAGACATTGTTTTGTACCACGGTACCATTGTCCTTTTTTGTGGCGGGAAGGACTTGATCTTGTTTTGGGGAACTGCTGCTCCCCCTACTCCATGTCCTCAATGGGACTGTCATCAAGGTGCCATGCCCTCCTCTGGGATAAACAGTCACACATTCATGGAAATGGAACTTGGACACAGCCAGGATGGAAATGGCCATGCACTCATTCCAGTGATAGCCTATCCAGGGGACAATGGAGTTATCCATTTATTCTGACATCCCTTGGCAGACTGAAGATGGCTACTCACTCATTGTCACTCCTTCCATCTAGAGGGGGCATCTATGTCTCTCTCTCTCTCAGTCTCGGGAAGTTCTTCAACTGCCCCGATCAACACAATAGAGTAGAGGTGACTGTGACCGTGCTAGTTTTGGTGTATAGGACTCAACAGACTGGCGCCTTCCATTTCTTGTTTCTTAGAAACTTCTTTCTTAGACCCCTGAGTCGCAGTTTAGTACAACTCCTCTGAGCCCACTGTGCTATGACGGACACAGAGAAGCTGTTCATATGGACCTGTCTCCTGGAGAAGCTGATGTCCAGCTATCCTTGTCAGCAGCTGTCATTTGACTAAACTGCCTGAGTCACCCAAATAAGGACTTCTTAGATGAGCCCATGAGACCACCCCCAAAACCATGAGACATGACGAAAAGCCTTTGTTCTAATCCACAAATGTTGAGGTGGTTTATTCAGCTTTATCAAATAACATTTTGGCATAATTTAAGAAATGTGTCTTAATTTTAGCATCATAAATAATAAAAATATATAATCTGGACAGTGCTTTTTTAAAAAAAAAAACTTCATGAAACTTTTTTCAATTGTTGTATTTATTTGATAGCATTTAATGATCCTCACTCTGCATAGCTTCTAGCCACCAGGACTCAGGCTCCCCAACACACTGACTTTTCTCCTCAGCTCTTCTGCAGAAGTATGGGTTCCTTCACACTGACAGTCTGCTTTCAGAGCTTGCCCTTTGCAGCAACCCAATCACAATGCATCAATGGTGGCAGCTACTGTAATCTCCTTTTGGGCAGCATTTACTCGTGTCTGCTTAGATGTTTCCATCAATTTGAACACAGCCTGTTTTTTATCTTTTATTTTGAGTAGGATCTTGCTAA